AATTGTCACGTTTGCTGCTTCAGCGTATTGTTGAATTTAAAATGAACGAAAATCAACTTAAAGCACCAGTAGTAATTAATTTGTGCGTAATGTTTGGACATTGAATGAAAATACAACCTTGAAACATACACACTGCAAAGGGGAAAAGCCGTAGCAGACTACCAAGGTAGACACAAACTGGAAGTGAACCGAGCAGGGGTGAGTACTTATGGGACTACTGTATCAGAGCTATCAATTGCGCTCTGCACTATCTGAGATTGTCTCACTAGTTATATATTTTAAACAGATAAATATAGAAAGTCAGATAAATCTTAAGGTGTTTTATTGTTGTTCCTCTAGGCTCAGCAAGGACTACTGGACAAGTCAAGGGAGCCGTTTAGTATAAGAGCAAAGAAATTCTTTCCAGTGGAGAAAACAGAATGGGTAGGTAATTTTAATATTTATTTTCTGTCGAAAGTTAGTGGGGCGACCATGAAACTATAAAATAAATAAATTTCAATATTTAGAGAGGAAGATGCGGGTCCTCTCTCCTGGTCGAACTGGAATTTTGAAGATGTTGGTTTTTGTGGAGGAAGGAAAACAGGAGAACCCGGAGGAAAACCTTCGGAACAAGGCGAGAACCAACAACAAACTCAACCCATTATGGCACCGGGCCAGAATCGTGGGATGCAAGCGCTCTCACCACTGCGCCATCCCTGCTTAAATACTTAATCGAAAGATTGGCGGCGATTCAGCCCGTCTTACTGTAGTTTTGATTTTATTTCACTTTCTGTTTTGTTTTGTTTGTTTTTAAGGTTTTAGAGAGCTGGAGTCCTAAACTAAGCCACGAAAATGACGGTTTGATATTCAACCCGGCAGAAGAGGTAGATTAGAGAAGCTCAAACACGTACTTTAATGTCCTTATTGTTCAATACAAGATGTTCCAACCGCCACCTAAAATATAAAACAAGACATGAATTTATTTGTTGACATTTTCAACGCTTTGCGTCGCTTTGAACTTGGAATTTCCTTCTTTGAATGAAACTCCGCATTTAATTTCAGCTGTTGCAACTGTGTAATCCATCTTGCTACCTTTTCCCCCGCATTTCTTTGTCGTCCTTTGAAAATTACAACTGCGACCCCGGAGAATTTTGAAAACAGCGTTTTCACTCTGAAAACGCATCAAATGTTTTCCGTCCACACTACGCCGGAGAAATTTGAAAACTCAACAATCACCCGTCAGTTTAGATTTGTGTTTGAGGAAAACTCTGCCGGGAAATCACATAATTATTGTAAAGTCATCGTTTTCGAAAAGCTCCGTTTCAAAGTGTTTTCCGTCCACACTAGAACGAAAACCCGGCGTTTTCAAATTACTCAAGTTTAAAAAGGCGTTTTCGAAAAGCTCCTTTTTCTGACGGATTAGTGTGGACGGTAGGCTTAACCGTAGAAATAAAGCTGCGTTTTCAAATTCCTCCGGCGTAGTGTGTGTACCTTAGTTCTCTCTGCACAATCGGCTAATTGATAAACATTTCTCGCAGAGGAGAAAGATTATATCGATTCGAACACTCGTTAGATACGTGTAAAAAGTTGATTTTTTAAAAATTGCCACGTTTTTTTTCTTTCTCTTCGCAGCCATATTCTCCCGGCCAAAGTCCTGAAGTACTAAAATGGAAACCACATACGCTTAACTCAGTGGATTTCGTGCTTAACATAAGAACAGTAACGCAAGAAGGGTATGTTCAGGGGTGGGGTGGGGGATCTCCTTATTTTAGCCATGTAAGGGTGAAGTATTTTAGATCTTTTGATCTGAAGTTCGATCACTCATTTTGCTATTTTGGTCTGAAATTATTTGTGATTTTTAAGGACATCATAATATGTAGAGCATGTTTGCGTAAAGGCGATATATATTTTTGACAGCCAAATAGAAGCCTTTTTTTGTCAGGAGCAAAAATAACTAAAATAACTCTTGTGTAATTGCTATGAAACTCATACTTTCCCCTTAACTTAAACATACACAGAGTAAAGCACTCGCCAAAATGACTTGCAAGTAGTCGCGAGTAGTGAAATACGAATTTGCGTTGCCCGTTCAATGCTGCGGCTCGCTACAATCCATCTTAAAGCGGGGTTGCCGCCGTCACGTTACGCCCGTCAGCGGGCGTGAACTTTAATGGCTTTTCGCGTGCAAAATAAAATACAGGAAATGTACGGGCGGCTTGCGTCTGCGAAAAAATTAAAGTATAACGCGATGCCAAACCCTCCATACATTGTACGCGCGTAAAGCCATTACAATTCACGCCCGTTGATGCGTGTTATAAAAGAAATAACCGAGACATTGGAAATCCCGTTCGAGACTTGTTCTTTGCGTTGTAAAAGCAACATGAACGAGTTGTGTTTGTTCTAGTTCCGCTCACACGTATCCCTGCAGTCCACCGTAGGAAAAAAGATGGCGGCTCTACATTTTACCCCAATGCCTTGCGAACCAAACACAGCCTGAAAGGCACAAAGAAAGCCAAATTTTTTACAATATTTGTCACTGTACTAAGGACATTAAGTAGCCTAGGTTTTAAGATTTTGTAACTCTTCTGTACGTTTTTATGAACGTTGTTAAGATTTTCGTGCGCTAAGAACTATGGGTCAATGTACCAGTCGCCATCTTCAGTTTTTTCCTACGGAGGATTAAACCTGTTCAAAATATTAAGTTCTGCTGTGCTGTTGTTTCAGTTGTATCCCTCAATCAATTGGCGCACTCATGGTCGGTGGTTACGATAAACCATTCGCTGCCATCAAGGTTTGTTGAGTTATTTTTTTGTAAAAAAAATACCTCTTAGTCGNTGCAAAACAACAACGTGAAATGACTAAGTTCTGCGTATTTTGGAGAACTTGAATGACGGCGGCTAATTTTTCGTATTTCTCATTTGGAATGAATTGAATGCTGGCGTTACATACTTAGCTTGAGCAACTTGTGAGACCAATAGGCGAACTGAACAGATCTAGACAATTGCGAAAATTCGAGGGTAAACTATAAATCCATATTTTACTAGGTGTTGTCCGCGGGATCGCCGTCATCATTGCTTGAGCTCTCTACTATAACAGTTCAAAAACGTAAAGGTCGGCGCACACGCGGGGACTAGCCCCTGCGACTAGTCACTGCAACTAGTCCCTACAACTAGTCCCCTGAATAGTTTACACGACGAGATTGGTCGCAGGGACTTGTCCCACGAACAGTTCACACGACGCGTTTTGAGGAACAAGTCGCAGGGACCTGTCCCAAAAATTCAAACCAGTTTGAATTCGTGGGGCTAGTCGCAGGGACCAACTTTTAGTCCCTGCGGCTAGATTTTGTGGCAAAAATGGCCAGTCAGTCACACGATGGGACTTATCCCCGCGACCAGTTGCAGGGAGTAGTCTCCTCGTGTGTGCCGACCTTAAAGGGCTTGCTAAAACCGTGGGATCGGTCGGTCAGTCAGTCAGTCAGTCAGTCGGTCGGTTGGCCGGTCATATTCACGCTTCGTTCTCCATTTAAACGGTTACTATAAATCATTTTTGTCCCTCAGGTAACGAAAGAGTTAAAAAACCTCAATAAGAGAGTTGTGGAATGTACTTGGGATGCTGAAAACAATCAGTGGAAATTTCTCAGAGTCCGAGAAGACAAGAGCTTTCCTAATGGCTACAACACAGCTATGAGTAAGTTGGCTTTTTATGTACAGGCGCACAGTAGGCGCACAAGAACGATGCGATGTTCACTCGAGCCGGCAAAGCTTAACTGTTCTTTGTAGTGTAATTTCTGAGAGGACGTTGTGGTGTTGTAGTAACTTCTAAGTTAAAACGCATAGACGTTTCCTTTAGCTTTGACTTTTCTGTCCTCTTGCTTTAAAAAATCTCCTACAACACGCACTAAGCAATCAGGGCACACTGACTGTTTTCGCGTGTTGTTGGTTCTTTGGTAACATCTTTTCGTGGGCTCGGGTCTGGTTACATGTTTTCCCGTTCTTGGCACCGGTTGCATATTTTCCCGCGCTTAGTATCGGTTACATAGTTTCCCGCGCTTGGCAACGGCTACATTTTTTTCCCGCGCTTGGCACCAGTGGCATGTTTTCCCGCGCTAGGCACTGGTTGTATGATCTTCCGCCCTTAGAATAGGTTGCAAATACAACATGGGATTAATAAAGTGCGTTTCGTCTTTAATATTTCAGGTGTGTGCAAAAGCATTAAACAGCCAGTAACAAAGAAATGGCTTCTGGAAGTGATAGAGAAATATCGCTACCATTCAAATCGACCCAGGGACCCTAACGTCGCGTCTACGAGTCACTCTGCGGTGTAAATATAACAGTTTAACCAATTTGTTGTTTGGATAGCCATGTTGGGTCAGATAAGAGCATTCTGAAAGCGACAGAAGCAAGTTAAAATTAGTACGTGCAGCTTGAAACATCTGTTTTTTACCGAAATATTTAAACGCTTCGCACTGGAAAAGCTGTAGGTAAATATGTCGCGTCGTCGACCTCTCCGACCAAGTCTTTCGTACAGGTTAAGAGGAGAACCGACGCTCGGCTCCAGCGTCTCCGACGAGGTCTTCGTGAAAGCCGAATGCAACCGACAGGGTTTACCGAAGATAAGCCGAACATCAGCTCGTCGACGCAAGTTTTTTATAGCACAAACCGCTGTACTTCTGTACTTGGAATATTCTCTTTACCACTTTCATCCTTGTGTTATTTTTAAATATTTTGAACATTCCCTCATGGTGATTTCCCTGAAATGATCACGACCGGTGTTCTCATAGCCCTCTTGTTGAATGTGTTTTACAAAGTTAAAGAGAAGTTAAAAATTAGTCACTCTGGTGGTCGCTTATAGGACAAAAAACAAAGACAAATAATTTGTAAATACATTTTACACTGTATGACTAATAATGCCGTAAATCTCGGTTGTGAGCCCACTCGCTTATTGACCTATCTGCTAACCAGACTCGAAAAATATTTCGGTTACACCCCCCCTCCTCTCCCCTCCCCGCCCCCGAAGCATACCTCGACTTCTCAAAACGGCAATTCTCTGCGCAGTTAAACCTAATTCACTGAATGAACATTATACTATCACAGTGTTTTCTGCTTGCCAACCCAAGACATCTTATGAAGTTAGTATAGCAAAGGGCTTATAACCGGAGCTTTATGGTCCAGACAATGGGTCTACATGAGATCTCTCCACCAAGAGAAAACGTGATCAGCCAAAGAGGATAAGCGTAGGGTCTACGTAAGGGATAGACCATTTATTTATTTTTTTTTGTAAAGGGGGAGGGGGCGCTGGGCAATTTCCAAAAACAATTCCTGCACAGCCTAAGCTGCTGAAAAAAAAAATCGTGCAAAGGGAGCCANTACTCCTTGCACAAGCTTTTACCCACCTAAATATATCATCCACAACCCGAAGTTGAGAAAAAAATTTCATGCCCTAGAAAATTGCCCAAACCTCCCTCCGTCCCTAACCTTTGAAGGTGGTGTGCTTGGGTTGAAGAGTGCGGCGTTACAATGGAAACCAAAAGCAAATTCCTTATTTGGTCAGTGTAACGCCTTCCAGGATTAGCCGAGCTCAACGTTTTTGGTAGTGGTTGCTTAGCAACACGCGAAACATCTTTATTTTGTGACTGGATGAAAATGGAAGAGTTTTCATTTGACGAGAGTGTAAGTTAAGATATTGAGAAGAATAAAGTAGGGACTCTTTTCCATACACTTCCCTTCATTATAAGCAACTCCCTAGGATAAGAAGGTACCTTTATTAATTGAGGAAATTTTCTTGCTAGGAAAAATAAATGACGCAGGTCAAGTGTAACTTGATAATCCTTTTAAAACACTGAGAGCAAGTTTAGAACGTGCGCGTAATTCAATAAAATGAGAAAATAACAACATTTCTTCCTTTTCTTTTTTTTTTAGCCTCGCTCATGAAGTCTTGATCGCGCAAAGTTAATGAAGTGGTTTAGAAATTTTATGAAAATTCGTAAAAATTTATAGCCATTGAAGAAATACCTGCTATCCAGAAGGCGCGAACGTGCTTGTAAGCTTGGGTATTGATAATTGAAATGAACCGAGAATATTTCCTGTGCAGTATAAACGGGTATTTTTTGTCAGGGATATTGTAAGATTTCAGTTTCCAGTCAGCAGCACTGGTAGTAAGAACTGAATTTTACGTGAAAAGTCTATAATTCTTGGGTTGGACGTACGTGAGGTTAGTAATGTCATGGGTGTGGCCACCTTTGGCAAGGGCAAAAGAAAAAGGATTTTAGCAACTTCAACATTTGACATGTGGACAAAAGTACTTGCAACTGAAGTGCCGAAAGAAAAGATCGTCGTTGAACTGAATTCAGGGAGACCTCGTAAAATATAAATCAGTCGAAACTGAAATGGAAAAGCGTATTATTACCTCGTACCCTGGGTTCGGTTCCAGGTTTTTTTTTTTACCCTCATCATGCGGGACGGCCGCGACACGTTCGTTGGTCTACTTGAACGGAAACGGAACACGCAAGAAACGCTCTGGTGCGGCACTCCCTGCGCTTGTCACGCAATCGTTTGGGACTTGGGAGATTGTAGGTAACATTTTTCAGTATTTCAAACTACTGTCGGAAATTTGTTGAAATAGCACTATTTCCAGTCTCTCTGGGTTTGTCAGAAACTAGGCACCAGGTTGTTAGTGTTCGCCGTTCAAAGAGGAAATTGCCGAGTTGCCGAGTTGTGTATCGGGGAAGCCCACCAGCAACAAAACATGGAAACGAGATAACTTCTAAGAAAATGTCTTACTTAGTTCAGGCTAACGAGGATTCAATGCCTCGGTGTCTTTCTGACACAAGGCTGGACGAAGCATTTAGCGCTCATGGGCAAAGCGGCCATCGCTTCAGTCGAAAAACATTCACTCGTCCCAGCTACTGTCATCACTGTACGGACATGCTCTGGGGCTTAACAAATCAAGGTTTAATTTGTGAAGGTGAGAAAGCTTGTGATGATGTATAATGTGAGATAATTTTCGGAGTTTTCAGCCGTTGGGTTTAAATTTGCGGAGGTATCATTTCGTGTCAAACCGCAGTTCATTGTGGAAAGTGACGAACATATGACGTGAGTTGATTAATACACACATTGACACAGGTGTTTAAAGCTGGATATATTTTACAATTTGTTAGTGTACAAACTGTGGGTCTTTCTTATAATTTTTGAGAAGTTTTTACGAAGTGCTTTGCTTTTTTTAGAGTAGAATTTTATTAACTAGGTCGGTCGATTATTTGTTCGCAATATTGTTGGTGAATACTCCCTGCGAAGTGGAACACAAACGCCTCTTCATTAAGGAGTTTATTTGTACACTTCGTAAATGCGAAAACACTTACAAATTTTACAGATCTTGGAAGTGGTTTGATAAAACACTGTTTATTCAGACCATCTGTTTATCTGCTTTCCATCCGAAAGCTCACGTACATGTACATGATCTGTTGCCATGTTGGGCATAATTTACAAGTTACTATATTTACGGCATAAAATTTATTATTCACTGCTAAATTTTGAAAGCCCAGTACAATTGGCGACCGACATCGTATTTTGAAATTCGCAATGCCACTACAAAATCGTGATGTAAAGGAGTGTTTTTAGCGTTAGTACACATTGTGTAAATTTGACGTGTTCTTACTGCACTACACAATAAGTGACATCACTACTCCCACAGAGATCTGAATATTAACGTCATGACGTATGCAAATAATCTAATACTAATTTCCTGCAGGGAAAAGCTGGTTTCCTTGAGAAAAGGAATCAGTTGGAAAAATAGGGAAGGGCCTCAGCAATGTTTGTAGAAAAATGCTATTTCCTGTCTTTCGAAAGATTATTAGCAAATTGCATCACAAACATGTAGCTGCCAAAAATCCTACCAAACAGTGTCAATGTGGTGTGTTAAAACAGAAATAACTGTGATGTTATTTTTGTAGAAAATAGCTCAAAGAAAATAAGCACGCTGATTGGTTTAACAACTGCACACTGCTACAATACTCACTATCTGCCAAACAATATTATTAAATTATGAGCTTGAGATTTTTATCACGTGATAGCTGATGAGGGCACAGCCNCGAGCATTCAAGGGAGCGAGTACATGGAATGGTATTGGTTGGGATGGTCACCAAAAATAATTGGTATTTCATAAAAAATGATAATGATGACGCAGAAAGATGACCATTAAAACTGAGTTGTAGACTTGGAAAATTATATATAAAAAAAAAAAACATTAGCAATCTCTGTGTAGTAGATAAGGTGAGCAATGAATCAGTCATTAAAAATTATCAAAAATCACTGTCTGAAGGCAACTAATAAGTCAGCAACATTTCTAGATTCTTTCAAGATCCAACATTAATGTTGTTTAATTTGACTTTTCATTTGCAGTCCCTGATGTTAACGAAAAGAAAAGTGAAGATGAAAAATCCAAGAAGGCCATCAAACTCGTTACGACCCTCATCAAACAAAAGCACAAGAACTATTTTTTATAGTGACTGAGTCGATTTTCACTGACAGGGGTTTCACATGGATATGTAAATAGTTAGTATGCTTCGTGCCATTCGTACAACTCCCTGTTGAAGGGAATGCTGGCTCATTTCCTCAAGCTAAGCTGATATGCAACAAACTAATTTAGCAGAAAAATAATATTGAATATTAAATTATTTATAATTAGTGTTTTATCCACTTCACCCCTTTTGTGATCAAGTTAATTTAAATTTCTGTTAACTGTTTGGTAGGCTCAGTGGCCTCATTGTTAGTGTGCTCAACTTTGAATTGAGCAGTCCAGGTCTGAGCCCTGGCAGGGAACATTGTGTTGTGTTCTTGGGCACTTTACTCTTTCAGTGCCTCTCTCCACCCAGATGTATAAGTAGGTATTGGCAAATTTAATACTGGTGGGGGATAGCCCTGCAATGGATTGGCTTCCCATTCAGGGGTGAGTAAAAATACTCCTAGTCGCTTCATGCTACACAGCTACAGAAACCAGTGACAAGCACTGACCTGATGGGCCACTTGGCCTGCATGCAGACTGTTTACCTTTTTACCTTAACCATGCAAAGCCCTTTGTGTGTTGACATGCCCAGTGAGGATGGATGAAGTCATGTCAAAATTGCAAGTGCCGGTATTTAAAAAATTATTCTTGATCAAGTATAGCTAAATTTGGTTGATATGGTGTATTTGGGTTTATAGTTAGTTCATACCCATTTATTATCCTGGGTGCGGTTCTGCAGAAGGTGGATAAACTATGTATTATTACCCAGAGGATAAGTATTGAGAAAAAAATATTCTACACCATCCACTGGATAGTGATTTATCCATACCTACCTTTATCATACATCCTTTGAACAACCGGGGCCAAGTCCTAGAGACTGAGAGGCACTTTGAGGGTCAAGTGTGTCTTTCTGCAACACCTCAATTTCACATTTAGAAAGTAGCCCAAAGAAAACACAGGCTGATTGATTGGTTTCTGTTGAAACAATTAGATTATGAGCTCGAGATTTCTATCGCGTGATAGTTGATGAGAGTGCAGCCCGAGTCAACTATCTCACATAGAAATCGAGAGCGAATGATCTAATTGTTTTTATTAGTACAAATCTACTAGTCATTCAAAACTTTATTTAAATCCTGTTCACAGACTCTTTGAAAACGCCAAGAAGCCACCGTCATTTTTTTAACAAGGGCACACTGCTACGCTACTCAGTAGCTATCACAGAGTAGATATTGAGTAGCATAGCCAATCAGAGAATGGCAATCATGATAGAATGCTAGTTTATTGGTACTAAACCTCGATAGAAAACACAGCACAAGCACGAGCTGTTCATGTAATAGTGACACAAGAAAGGGGGATAAACATTATTTTGATGAGTAAAGTAAACAAGTTGTTTTCTTTTTTTCGTCAAGGTATTTTCTAAAAGAAATAGAAAACATGTTCTCCCTGTTTCTATCAAGTTATAAAAACACACTTGAAAGTGTAGCTGGAGAACTCCAAAAAGCTGTGGAAACACTCGCCTGTCAGCTCATGTTCCCACAGCATTTCTCATTCTCTCAAACTTTCACTTGGGTTTCTATAACTACATGTAGACAGAAACCCGGAACATGTTTTCTGTTTCTTGAATGGCTGCTTTACTTATATCTTGTGAGTGAATATTTTGGTTGCTTTCCAAGAAGCACTTGGGTAACAAGCTAGTCTTCATGTAAAACCAAAGTCTCACTTTGTACAAAATGTAACAGAGGCAGTGAAAGGACATTTTGAAGCTTGCTGACGTTAGAATAACAATTGTAAGAATTTTAGATAGCATTTTCAAATGAATGGTTATTAATTCACAAAAAAATAATATGTACAGCACTCCATTGTAGCCCAGCTACAGAGGAATATCAACTCAAAGTTTACATATTAAGTCTTCCATTATTTAATAACCTTTTATAGTTTTGCACCAGCACTAGAAAATAATGATAAATATTGGTGTAAAATGCTCACAGAAAATTAAACTTTTCCAGTCCTTCTGGCTTAATTCTTTGTTTTGAAAGTGTTATCCACTTGTTGATATTAGCTAGTTTGTCCACAGACATTTCTTTTTGCTAGAATTATTTTCCTTTGAGCACACGAGCTCATTCATATCCCACGTACACTAAGCTTGTAATCTCAATGAACTCAAGACAAAACAGAGGGTCTGTTGTCAGACATAATATTAGCCTAGTAGCTAGTTTTTTATGTAAGTAACAAAATAGGCCATTTCCAAATTACCTTTTGTCTCTGTTTGAAAACAAGTCCTTGTGCAAAACCTTTCATATGAAAATGAGTTTGATATGCATGAAAATGAACAAGTAAGCAGCCGGGAAACATTTCCATATAAATGGTTGCGAACGAAGACTGGTTTTGACACAGAGGCGCAAGGCAACTCGGAAATGGGCTATTCATAACACATTTAGTATACAATTCATTTCACGTAGAAACTGAACAACAGAGAAAGGGTCTTATTTCTTTTTATTTTTCTTGCTTGACTTGGCTTCAGCTTTAGTAGGTTCTTTAGATGCCTTTCTATATAGGTAATACAAAATCATTCCAGCCAGTATTGGCCAAAATCCTATTTGTAGCAGCAACTTTGGGTCAAAGAGTGACTTCCTCTTTATGGACATAAGTTCAGTGGTGAATATCAGCACAGAGTTTGCTGTGTGATGAGGAAAAAGAAAGAGTGTATTAGGATTGTGAAGATCTGATGCATCCCAATGCATACATGACCTGACTGGCTGCATAGAAAAGTGATTTTTGAGCTTTCCCTTTTGGGCAAGCCGTAATTGTGATGTACCAGCCTGAAAGTCATTCTCGCTAGTCCCTTGAAAATTTTGTACAGGCATAATTTGTTTTAATAGCCACTCAACAGTGTTCTATTGGAAATCTGCAAATCTGATTGGTTCTCTCAGGGTTTTCTATTTGCTGAGAAACTGATCGCACATACGCTACTTTTGAAACTGAAAATTATTCTTAATCTGAGGCTTAAAATACACAATTGTAGGTTTTTTGCTGTAATCCTCTAGAACATCTAAAAACAATCAGACTACTCACCCTTGTTTTCTATGAGCGATAGTCGACTTGGCTGCGCCTTGTTGACTATTTGCTGGTAGAAAACTCCGGCTCATAATCTAATTGTTTAACAGGACACGGCTATACCTCTGTAACTGAATGTCCTTAAAGATTTCTCCAAAAAATGTCGCTCTCCCCTCGGGCAAACAAAGGAAAGAATCAACTAGGCTGATTTTAAAATTCACTAGTCCTAGGCTATCTGATACCACTTGTTTTGCACACTGAGCCCACATCCACAGTTCTAGAACCATTCTGTTCCCAAACTGGACTGTCGTCAAGTGAACACCTAGACCGGTTGTTTTTGAGGCTAGACATGTCCACATGGGACCAGGGTGCGGATATTTCCCGGAATGCGCATTCATTAAATATTGTCC